AGCAGCGAAAGAGATGGCGGCAGGACAAGATGGTTTTTGAAAATCCTTGTAAAGTAACAACAGGAGCAAAGCACTCGAAACCTTGCGGTGAAAACGTTGTGCGTACACCAAAGGTCCTTTCTCAGTGTCTAACCCAATTTTTACTATTTTTAGTGGCTGCTTTTAGACTAGCCCAAAGAGATACTAATGCCTTAAGGGCTTTCAAATACTTTTTTGGGAAAACGTATTGTAAAGGGTTGCTTTTGGCAGAGATTTGTGTTCAGCTAAGTAGTATTTGTAACAGTTTAAAAAATTAAGACTTTCTTTTTAATATTAACTTATGGAAGAGTATTTCAGGTCTCGGCTTCCTCCCCTTATTTTTGGTGGCATTCTGCCGAACTCCATTAGGTTGACGCGAAGAACTTTGGTTTTGTGGTCGCCGGGGTTCGCTGGCTGCTTGTTGCTTCCCATGGATGTTGCGTTGCTATTCGATGTGTGTCCAAAATGTGTCGTTGTCTGTATGATGTAACAACTACCCAAGGAGTAGCCTTACTTGGGGAGGGAGAAAAAGGTAGTAGTGGGAGCATTTCCCCTGCCTATATGCTTGTCCATGAATAAGGACTGAAACACACACACCGAGAAAGAAAGGGAGAGACAAGGATATCCACCCTCCTGAGAGACTTCAATGGACAACTTCAATGAAGACACACATACTAAGCTCTGGAGTCTGGGGTTTTATTCATGGGACCAACCGACCTTTGACATCTACACATCTCCATCATCATGGCAGACTACCACTAAATATTTAGTTTCTATATATTTCTTTTTTATTTAAATCTTGCTAAGAACAACATTTAACTAATTACTTATCCACCTACTTTTCCTATAGTTCAATATAAAAAATCCAAGATTAAGCTGGCACTGAATCACTGAATCCGTTAACCATTCAAAATGCGACAAAAAGGAAGTAAATTTGCCAGAGGGACCCACAGACCTTTTCCTTTTCCTCCCCAATACATCCATTTCAATAAGCTGATGCCCCTGCAGGAAAAATGGTAGCACAAGAGGAAGAAGGCCTTTTTGAAAAAAATATATATCAACGCACCCCATGTGGGCAGAACGCAAAAGCGGATGAATGTCCTACAGGGCCAGTAAAGGAAAAAAAGGATCAGCCAAGGGGATGCCAAAGGATGAACCCGTCGTCTCCACATACTACGTGCACAAAACAGATAAATGCTAGCAAGTTTTTAACAAAACCAACGGAACGGGCAGTGAATTGAGCCCAGACATTTCCTGCCCCATGCAGCCTCAAAGAAAATAAGTTAGGTTTTTTGGGAGGAGAAATTAACGACTACAGAATACCCGGGTATTTAAAAAACAAACTTTTTAAATTTAAATTAATTTATCGTTATATAGTTAAAAAAGGAGTTGAAAAGGACTTGGTGTCTCCATCATAAAATACCCAGTAAGTGATTTTCGATGCTGATTGCATACTTTTCTGCAGCGCTGTGTTTTTGTAATAAATAATAAGGATTTTCATTCTGGACAGTTTATGCAATTCATCGTACAGTTTTAAATAATAAATAATACATTTTTCTTAGAAAATACAATAATTGCTAAGTATAGTTTATGGCAATATATACCTTTTATCTCCAAGATTCCTAGGTATCTTAAGGAAGCAACAAAAACGACATGTAAAATTATGCGCCAGTAGGACGCAAAAGTTTATGGGGTGACCCCCAACGAAGTCCAAGGAAGCGAAGAATCACAGACAGGACCAAGTGCATTCATTGTCCCTCAAACTCACACACACAGATACAAACAAAAAAAAAAGGAAGAAAAAATGCAGTGGGAGAAAAGGAGGCAGGCGGAGACTGCGAGGGGAAAGCACGCAAATATGCCAAAGCTTGCTGAGACAACAAACAGGAAGTACGCATTTCCTGCACTCGAGAAAAGAGAGCAAATAAAAAAAAAAGTAAAACAACATTCCATGGAATAGGAGCCAGGAGAGGAAACCTTGGGGAAAAGGGAATCCCAGACGGAGACACAGTAGAAATGTCGCGACTACGACGACGACAACTTTTTGACACAAAAGTGCCTGGAAAACTGTTTTCTTTAGTTTCTTCACCAGCCAGTCGCCCTTTGCCGTGAAATTAATTGAAACCGACTAGACCTCTGCGGGGGTGGAGTGAATAGATGGAAGAGATGCAGACTTGATCTTGACACTGTCCCACGGCAATGTCCCTGAACTTGCCAAATGCGATAGCCATCATCCTCATGACCTCCTGCTCAGAGGGAACAACACCCCATAAAAAAGTTAGGAAACGATGGGAATTTGCATTAAAAATGCAAATAAAATAGCTTCAGATGAGATGGGAAATAATAAATTAAAGAATGTGTGAAAGAAATTAATCATTTAAAGATTTAATTAATTTCTAGATATATTTACAAAAATTATAAAGAAGCTTTGACTTATTCAACAGCAGTTTAAAGACTATTTTAAAGAATAGAAAGTCTTATTATTATTCTAATCATATTTTAATAGTATTATATTTTATATATAATTAAATGTACTATTTAAGAAGACTTTAAATGAAAGCATGCCTAAGATAAATATGAAAATTAATTGAAAAAATTAAAAGAAAATTTAAGAAACTTAATACAATTGTATTGAACTTAAAATCCAAACCACTGTAGCATATTTGTCCACTCAGCATTCCTGGGCACCTTGCCCACCAAATGAGTTTCGTGTCACAAGTTGACCCGGCCGAGATTAAGTGGGCGTTTAATTTGCCAAGTCTCACCCACAGCCAGGACCTTCTCCTGCTCTTCATCCCCGTCCTCATCCCTACCCCTCCTTTACACCCTCGTCTATGAAAATACTGCGTTAATGTAATCCACGCTCCCGGCATTTCCGTATGCTTCCGTTTGCTTTTTCCTCATTTTTTTGCCTATTTTTTTGGGAGTTTTTTTTCTGGCTTTGTCCTTGGCAGTTGCCTCGTAACTTTGCCACTTGGATGATCTCTCTTTCCCTTGCCCTTATGGTCTCTCTCTCTCTCTTTCTACTTGCTATTTTAGCTTAATCAACAAAGTAAATAAAATGTCCTGCCTCCTGACCCTTGGTCGGAGCGGTCATTTTCTACGTTTTTTTATGAAGTCATAGAGCTTAATAAGTTCCATATAAATATGTATTTACGTATAAATTTGAGATTACTTTCTGTGCATAAATATGGCTTACACAAAGTAAAACCAATTGAGTCGGCATATTTTGGGAATATTTAAGAAGTGGAAATTAATGAAAATAAGATATCTAAGCAATGTACATAAATTCCTTATTAAACTGAAAAAAATTTATAACTTTCTACGTAACAATCCCTTGCTAATTAAAATCATTTAAATTCATCCCCACACACGTAACCATGGCAAAAGGAAAAAAAATCCAAAAACTAAATCAAGCGAATCCACTTTGATGTGCAATAACAATGTGCCTCATATATAGGAAAGGAAAATGAGAAGCTAAGGGAAAACCAAACTGAGAATTGAATGCCATGCTGCTTCCTTTTTGCTCCTTTTTCATTTTCCTTGCACCAAAGAGTTGGTTGTCAACACAGTTCCACATAATTATAGAGTTGCGGAGCTCATATAACACCAAGTGAATAGGAACAGTAATAGATAAATTTGTAGGAGTTTCATATTCCCAAGAAAATCCATATTAAAAAATGTAGGGTTAAGAAAGAGTTAAAGAATTGTTGAAAGTATTTGAGAAATTTAATAAATAAGATAAGATACTATTAAATAAGAAATAAAAAACTGAATAAAAGAAAGGAAGAATAGAACACATGCATTTGATGGTAATTGAAGAATGTTTAAATAGAATATTAAGTAGAATTCAGTTGTAAAATATATTACAAAATATTGTTTATCAAAATATTAAAAAAAAAAAACCTTTAAAATTGTTTTCCTTACATGAAATCAGTGGTAAATCTGCACTTTAAGTACAAATCGTTAAAAAAAACATTCTAAATTATTGTTTAAAAATTGAGTAATAATTTCTTTATAAAAGCATAATTATAGGTTATACAATAAATTAATTTTAAAATAATAAACACCTATTACTTTGACCTCCATTGTAGCCACACATGGCATTTACTTTCTAATAATTTCTGTGGAAAATTCCGATTGCACATGTGGGACTTTATATTGGCAGGCACTGTGGAAATGGAAAGCAATTAAAATGCTGCACTGGCTCTGATTATGCCAACGACAACGTTGTTGTTGGTGTAGTTGTTGTTGTAGTTGTTGTAGTTCTTGTTATTGTAGTAGTAGTTGTTGTTGTTGTTGTTGTTATAATTGTTGTTACTGGGTAGTGTGTCGGTGTGAATAGATTGGTATGTGTCAACTAAGTGCAGTTAATTAGTGCGAAAATCACTTTAGTTGGCTTGGGATATTCTTTTCCCACCCTCTGTCGGATTTCTTTTAAGCTTTTTTTTTTGTCTGTGTGTGTGTGTTGTTTGCCAGGTTTTTCCTTGGCGAATTTTCACGTTAATTGCTCTGCGTTCTGCAATCAGCCAGAAAACAGAAGCAGAAGCTATAGAGGAAAAGCTGGAAAGCGAGCTAAGCCACTCAGGGATTTACTCAATTTGTTGTCGCCGCCCAACCCAATTCCGCAATTTGCTAGGGTTTGTTTTTTTCACCCAGCTCATTCCGGGGTTTTTCATTCATTTCAATTTGAAAATTTATGGGGAAAGGTAATAAAGAATATAGTGAAATGACAACTAAATCCCCTTAATGTCACAAAAATTGCAGAGATTATGAAGTAAAAAGAGAATATTTTATTTATAAAGTATATTATTAAATTTATAAGAATTATTAGTTTTATAAAACGTTTTATATTTATATTTAATTATATTAAAAATAATGCAAAATAGTCTCTATAAGCGATGTTTTGTGCTTTTTGACACTGGTTATTTCAAGTAAAATATAATGAGTTTTTCAAATACATTTGACGTTTATAATTAACAGTTTAAATGCTTAGTACAATCACTGATTAAAAATTGAATTATTTTAGGCAGACAATTCTGTCTTAAATCTAAGGTCAGCTATTAAAGCAACATGATCTGAAGGAATGACTACCGATGGTATGGCACTATTTGCCTTCAATTGTTCATCCGTTGGCAATGGTACATATCGAAGTACTTCAAATCGAGCCTGTTGATAGAATATATAATCCAAGCATGCAGCAAAAAGGGTAGTAAAGTTGGTAAACTCTGGAGTGCCACAAGCTGAAGCCATTTTAAAAGGCTGAGTAAGTTCCACATTCGAAACAGCTTGCTCGGCATTACTACGCCAATCCACAAAATCTTTATCCACAAATTGTTCAGTCATCAATTTATATATTCCGCATTCCGGAACGCTATTAAAATCTCCACAAAATATTAGTCCAATATCCTGAGAGCTTGAAAGTTTTAAATCTTTTACAGCTTCCTTGACCAAGTGTTCAACATAAATGATGGAAAAGGCCATTTGCAGAAGGCGTATGTGATCGGCATCGGGATGGAATATAAATGAGTGTTGGCCACAAGTATATGTCGATTGGTATCCTTAATCTTTAGCAAACACGTCTGCAGTGTGGTTGATCGATCACAAATACGTGTTGCCAATTGCTCATTAACCTTAATCTTACTCCAAAGACTTTCAAATATGGATAGTTCAGGTATCTTAGAACCTAAATGCAAGACTCGAGACTCCACGAGTTCAAATCGGGATTTACGAAAGAAAATGGCAACACCTTCCGCACATGTACCCTTGGGGGTCATGATACCATGATAATTGAGTGAAGCCCACACAGTATTTCCTTAAAGTCAATATCAAATATCTTTTGATCAACCTCTTGAAGACAGATGAGATCAGCCTTATAGCCAACGATTTCCTTGATAAATAATTGTTTTCTGTAATCAATTTCCAAATTTTTGGCGGACAATAGGGAATAATGTCGACCGGGATAATCACTATCGGCATAATAGTCAGCCAATAATTGTAGGTTACAACTCGAAGTTCATTGAAGCTTTCAAATAATCAGAAGTATGACGATGTCGATCTTCAAAGGGAAATAAATCTGGCGCAGCTTGAACTGTAGTTTTAGAAATCTCTTCCAACACAGGACCTTGATATCCTTTTTCATTGCCAGGAGTGACAACAAATTTAAGGTAGTATCCAATATCTTCAAGCGTTGGAGTATAGTGGAAACCTTCGCCACAGACTTCCCATTGGGTAGATTTGGATTCCTTGGCTTTTAGCCAAGTTCCTTTGCTATGCTCACGACCGGCAAATTGCAGTTCACAAGCTGTCGGATAAATTACAAATCCAGCCAGCATGCATTTCGGTAATTTAAGGCTTAAAATCCATGGTGGATTGAAAACCATATCGAAAGTGGCATCTACCACACGAAGCTTTATCCCGCTGATATTTTTCTCAAGCAGTTCAGTAAATGTTAAATTATTGAAATTTAGATCATGTTTTCGCTATAAAGTTTAACATTTATCTCCGAAGATTCAACCGCCACCGGTTCGTTACTCTTACCCTTCTTTTTTACTTTTTCTCCATCTGCTTTTGAACATTTCCTTGAATTCGTGTCAAAATGCTTTAATTTGCTCATCCATTTGTCGATTGAAATTAAATTCTCGATCAATCTTCAGGTTTTCGTTTACATAGCGAAAAACTATGTTTAGTTCTTTGCTTTCAGCTGCATTGCGCATGTAAACTTTATCCATATCGATACTTAAAAAAATGACAAAAATAGAAATTAGTTTTAAAATCATGGAAGTAATTTTGATAGAGCTTAGACGGGGGTTTTACGAGACTAAATACAAGTCTCTATAGGTCATTCCGTGGATTTTTACAATTAATATAACAATTATTATTATTTTTTATATATTTTATATCCTTTCCATTTAATATCAATTTATTAATGGTTATCTTTTAAGTGCATTAAAAATTCAAAACAACACAAAAATATGAAAACTCAAATGAAAATATCCAGGAAGCAGAATAAAAAATTAATATTAAATTTAAATGAAATGAAAACTAATTTCAACATATAGTAAATCATACAAATTGCTTTAGTTTCTTTACTTTAATCATTGGTTAATAATTCATATTTTTTAAGCATATACAAATTACCAAATTTTAGATATCAAAACAAAAAACAACGGAATGACCTATTTTGAATTATAAATAATTTCATTTCCTATTTGAAACATACTTTGACATTTTTTAAGTGCACGTATTTGATTGAAGCTCCAGCGATTTGTTTTGTTTTGTGAGACACCTGAAAAGCAAAACAGAGATCAGCTGTTGGTCGAAACGCCGCGTGGGGGAAGCACTCACAAAGCCGGCCGACGTGAAAGCCCGAAAGCGCGAACAGGCGAGTCTCTGGTGGATTTGAGTGTACAAATTCGTTGCCAATTTGTTGGTAGTCATTCAAAGTGCGAACGCAACGCGATGAAAACGAAAATATTAGCACAAAAGCAGCCGGTGACACGAAAAACTTGCACGGAAGAAGAAGAATTTAAGTAGTGGTGACAAGAGTCAGCTGTTTCCGGCCCGATCGTCGACAATCGACGAAAGCGCAGGCCGATAATAGCTATCGATAACAAGTGCGCGGCAAAAATAAGCTTTTTTAAGTATTCAAAATAATATATATATAAATATAATGCTAAATAATACAAAAATTCAAATTAATAAAAACAAGATTAGTTTGATTTTAATTTCAAGCCTTCTAAATTTGCAAGTGTACTCATTGACAATAAAACCTCCATTTCACTTTAGATAAAACTATCCTCGAAGCAAAACACCTAAGCATTAAGCTAAATGTTATGATCCAAATGAGACATGTTCCATATTCGCAAGAAACTCAACTTCCAGGCAAGGTAGGAAAAAGGCTAAGACGATGGCCATAAAAATGCGGACCCGAAACCAGATCATATGGGTAGAGTGCTGCATTTTGGATAAGGTAGAAAGGAGAAAATGGGGACGAAACCTGAAGCAAAGTGCATAAAAAGCTGAAACAAGCCAAGAGATGACTTGGCCAGGCCAAAAAGGAATTGGCTTTGGCCCCGAAACAGAGTCAACAACTGTGCGCCACACACAAGAAGAGTTTGCCAAAAAAAAAAAGAAAGAAAAAGATTGCAATACGTAGAAAAATCGAAAAACTAGAACCCAAAAAAAAAAAAATATACTACTCTATAAAGGACATGGAGGACCAAAAAGGACAACAACATGACGGGGCCCGGCAAACGAAACCAATTGAAGAAATGTTGCTGACACCAAAAACGAAATGCAGGAAGACGCCGACGATGATGATGAGGCTGAGGATGAGCCAGGGAATGAGGCTAAGCTCGAGGATGCCAACGGATGCAGAAATGTCCTGAGAGGCAGCAACGTAGCGGAGCGGTAAGGCAACAACGAAATTAGTTAGCACTTGAGAGAGAAAGCTGCTTTGGCTCCGGTCCAGGACTCGTTGGATTACAACACCTGCGGGTAAAGGAACGATTGCCGGTTGCTGGCTGCCATTGCATCTTTATTGAACTGAACTAGAGATGGCCAGGAGCTTGAGCCTGATACGTACATAAGCGTTGAATAAAGTTTAAGATATAGTGATGAAGGTTTTTATAAAATTACTATATCGGAAAAACATTGATATTATATTTATATTTTTAGATATATAATATTAGATATAATATTATATAGATATTATAGTTAGATATTTTTCCATCTTTATAAGAAATATGTTCTTATATCAATTCAAAGACATATTTCATAGTATTTAATGCAATACAATTGTATACAGATTTTCTACTTAAAAGTCCTTGGTCTTAAGAACTTCAATCTTAATACAGTCCCACCAAGATACGTCTATAATATCCCAGTACCATCACCAATGAAAATATAGTGCACCGTGGGATTGAAGGCTGGGAACAATTAAATAGCTTCGAGCTCTCGAAACTCAATTGCAGCATTTCAATAACTGCTGAGAACACTTAAGAGACTCGAAAGCCGGTCAGGTCAGTCAGTCAGGCAGACAGGAAGGCAGGTCCTTGCGATAATCTGACATGCAGTCGGCAGGACCAAACAACTCACAGAAGGAACCACTCCACCTTTCACTCCATCATCGTAACTATGTAACTACAATATCCGCTTGGTGTCCCCGAAAAAACTTAAGCACTTGAGCTACATTCTTCCACTCACCTTTTCCACTTGCTGCAGAAATTTAAAATATTTCCTGTTCTTATTCCTTCTAACACATGTAGAATTTGTAGCCGAAAGCACAGCAATGGGGCTTTCTTATACGTTTATATATATTTTTTGTAGGGTTTTTCTATTTAGTTATGAAAGGGATGGAACGAGACGCGATACGGCCGAAAAGTTAACACATTTAGAATTTCGCCACCTAGAAGCCGAAAATTGTTGAACTTTTTTTAAAATAATATGTACGCCACACAGTCTGATTTGGAAACGATACAACTAGATTAAAATTAATTTCAAATATTCATTCCCTTGACACTCTGTGAAATCCGGAGCAGCGCAAACTACGATCAAAATTTTTCGAATTTATTTCTTTTCAAGTTTAAATTGTAAACTTGTTATAGAGTTAATATAACAAATATTAATATAGTCATCTGTAACATTTTGGTAATAAAAAATAAGTTTTATTAAGCAAAATTGAGTCATCTCCCACGCAATCTCTTTCGTTGGCCATCCTTTGGCATTAAAACTAAATGAATCAACCAATTTAAAAGTTCTGCCAAGAGAGTCATTTACTAAATTGCAAAATAAAAAATAAACTCATTGAACGAAGGCAAGAAAAACCTAGAAGAAAATTCAATGAGACTGAAAATGATCTGGCTCGATGCCAATTGAAGGCGTGCACAAGAAAAACAAAACAAAACTCACGTTCTAATCAATTAAAAAATACAACAACCTAAAGGGAAAGGAGAGAGAAATCAGAAATAGAGACGATTTTCGGCAATAAATAAATTACGGCAGGCAGTTGAAGCGATTAAATAGAATGAGGGGGAAAAGCCGGGGGAAATTCAAAGGGAGTTGGGGGGGGGTAAGAAAGTAGAAAACTTCACTACGTCTGCTGCAATTTTAATTACGACTGTGATAAGAGCAAGACAAGACTAATGGAAAGGCGCAAGGGAAGTTAGTTGAGATGATATACGAGTGGGTTTTGGAGTTTAAAAATACCCTATCAGTTTTATTTTTATGTAGGTAAATGGTTTTAAAGATCAAAAAAGATTTTTATTAACGATTAACTTGGTTTAAATTAATTGTTTTAATTAGTGCAATCAATTAATCACTCACAAACTCAATTACACGGTAATACCTAAAAAGATTTCAACTGAATTTAATTCTTTTTTATTTGTTTACATTTTGTATAAACTTTAAAATTATTATAATTATTTGTAGTATTATTAAGACACACTTTGTTAAATACCCTTTAATAATAATAAAATAATTTTAAATATAATAAAATTCCCAAGTACGAATTTACATACAAACTTCAATAATAAAACCTGAACTATTAAAACTTAGTCTCTCAACAAATTAAGTTTATTGGCTGTTTAAAAAATGTTATAAAATCTCCTCTAATAAAAACCCCAAAATCATCAAACTTATTATACCCCATTAATTTACAAAACTAATGGGTGCAGAGACGTCGAAAGGCACCAGCTCCGACTAATCCTTTTGGCAAGGACTTTGACAGTTGTCTTAGTTGCACAACAACAACAACAACAACAGCAACAAAACAATAACATCTTCATCAGCATTACATCGTCATCATCATCGTTTTGCAGCATTCGTGGAATGAAGTAGCACCATGAACAAAAGCAAAACGAAATAACAACAAACATTATCGCACATCATTATCGTTGTCATTCAGGAAGCGTTCCAGCTTAAAAACACTCCCCTCACCCACCCACAAACCCCCGTTGCCTATGCTATTTGCTTTATTTTTGTGTTTAGTTAGTTTTTATGAGCGTCATTATTTTCGCTTGCCATGGCGCTAAGCATCTTAAGTGGCTCCACCCTCCTTCCCTACGATTTTCCTTATTTTCCCCCCCTTCCTTATTTTTTGGTTGAGAATTTTCCACTGTGTGTGTGTTGTGTTTGCATAGGCACAAAATGTCTTCGTCAACTTCTGACGATTTTATAATTTAACTTTTGCTGGGAGCACCTTCGCCCCGCCATCTTTTCCTGTTTTTCCTCTTAGCTAGTTTTGAAAACAACTTAATAATAAGTGAGTGTTGAGTAACCAGAATGGGAATGGAGAATAAGTTGACTTTGGCTTGAATAAGGTGGTTTTATCGAGTCCTTTTCAGGCTAGGCAATTATTTTACAGGGGAAACCCATGCTGCGATGCATTTAGAAAGTTTTCATGCCCCAAAATAATTGTCAAGGATAAAGAGTGACAAGTGAAGGCAGTTATGAAAAAGAGTAGAAAGTTAAAGAGACTGGAAAGAGTGTTGTTTTAAGTGCAATTATAGAAATTCTGATAGATAAATAGTAATATTGAAATCAGAATACAGATTAATGTTTATTAACCAACTTTTCTGTAGGGCCTCACTTGGAATACTTTTTTGTTTTTCTTAAAATAATTTCATTCCCTCTCCCATTTAAGTAGCAGCCTAACCCAATGACATTTGCCTTAGCTATTTCTGTATCTTGTCAACAACTTCTTAATTTAAATGAATATATTTAATTAGGTTGAAGCAAAACCTTTGGCACAGGAAAGTCTTTTCATTTGCCCAAGTTTACTCACCTATTAACTACCTAAGCCTTTAAAATTGATTTACATACTCCCAAATATAATAATGTGTAGCTTAAAAGTGATTACTTTCAAGGAAACTTGATAAAACTATAAGATATAAGCTTAATCTTTCTATCCAAAGCATAATCATCAATTTAAATTTATTTTGTCAGAGTTGCTGCTGCATTTGATAAATAACAAACAAAAGTGGCTTTGAACACAAGTGGAACATATGTTAAAAGCTGGAGAAAAGAATTTGAAAAAGCGTAAACAAGAAGCTTTACATTCTGACATGCGATCAAGAAAAAGAACAAGAAAATCATACTAAAAACAATAACAAATTCACAACAAAAACAAAACATCTATGAAAAAATGTCGCTAACAAGCGCAAAGGGAGAAAAATCTTTAAGCTTCTATTTTTTTTTCTTCATCGTTGCAATATGTATGCTCCTTTAGAGGATACCAAGTTCTTACATTTCCTCCCTCTCGTTACCATAATAATGAAATATCTATAAATTTCAGCCAAGTTCTATCGTTTCCCATTCAGTTCAGCAGCGACATACCCTCGAGAGGACCATAAATAATATTATTATTATGGCTCCAGGAGGCAACTTGTATTTGTCAAAGCAAACAAAACTGCTGCTGCTGCTGTTGTTGTACTAGGAGTCCTTACCACAAGAACCCTTACTTTGCCCCCCTATCAGACAGACCCTTCCTAGATCCTTCCTTGTTAACGGCATTATTATTGGCAGCCATTATTCATGCAACAAGTGATGCTCAATGGCGGAGCCCAGCAACTTCCGTCTAATTACGGCTAATTGAATGGCTCCAAGTTCCGGGATTTGTCAATTGATTTGTTGAGGGGATTTTCATATATTACTAGGAGGGAATATAGATAGGAAAGAGATGATATATAGTCAATAATAATATTTAAATATAGAGGGTAAAGATTTTGCAACAGGAATTTGTAAAAAATAAAAGGTTAAACCAACTAAATAAATGCGATTAATATTTATTTTTATTTTTCTGCAACTTTGTTTTACAAATTTTCCACCAATCTTCTAATCTTCTTTTTAAAATTTGAATATTTTAAATAATTTGAGTAGTTTTACCTACAAATGTGATCTTAAGTGTATTTAGTTTTTATTTTTTCAAAAAAACTACATTGACGTACGATAAATTTACAGAAAAAAAAAAATTCAATAAAGAGCTATCAATAAACATAACAAAAAAAAACCTTGTTAAATTAATCTGTCTCTCTTGGGGGCACGGAGATAAAACTGATATGCAAATAATAGCATTTTAATCAATTATAATACCATTGGAATAAAAAAATAATGTATAAACAATGTTGAGGACAAGGAAACCTTTATTGACACATCGACAGCAAATAAAAACCACAGCATTCACAACAACAACAAATAGGCAAAAAACCGATAACCCAAGCAACAAAGATTTATTGCATATATAGAAGCACATAAACTTATTATATATATATTCACTGATTTATACAGACGAGTAAAACCCATGTGGTTTATAATGAGACAACATACACACAGTTAAATGAGGTTAGAGTTGAGTACATTTGGCAATAAATAAATTGAAAATTAAACGGATAGATAGGTAAACAACAATAGCAACTTTTAAGGCTTAAAAGTAAGGATACTCCGTACTCACATAAGACTCATATGGTATATAGGACACACACAGATTTTTTGTTAATAATAGCTTGGATATATCGATAGGTATACAATATATATACTCTTTTTAAGAGACCACAAAACCCACAAAGAAAGCAGAAAAACAGTCACTTGATTTATATACGTTTTACGTGAGACGTTACGTTTACGCTACGAGACGTAATGACATAAGCGTACAATACTTTTGTATTATTTATTTTTTGTTGCTCTTTCACGACAAATAAAGCACTTTTTATATCGAAATTTCAGCAATAACTATATTTGCACAATTATAAAAGTCTTTTTTTATGACCAGGATAACTTTTTACACGCACAAAACGACAACGCAGAGACGAAACACACAGAAAAATAGTCGAATTAAATAAATTTTAGCAAATTAGAGACGATCAGCAACGTTATCAAGACAACAGACTCTGACAAACTAAAGTAAAAAAAAAAAAACAAAAAACAGACAACAAAAATTAAATCAAAATTACTTTCGAGCTAACAACAACCGAACGGATCGGCGATGATAATGCTCGTGCGATCGAATTAAGAGGCGGCACTGAGAACGCGGATCGGAAAAAATAAAGAGAGCAGCTATTTTCGAAAATTGATAAGACCACTTCGAATCGATCCAATCAGTTTGGCATTTAAATTCGAAAAGGAAAACAACAAAGATAACGAACAGAGATAATGCAACTAAGCAATAGGAAAATCTATGGCAAGGGATGTTCCACCAACAAATTTCTTATCATCGCAAAGTGCAAAGTGATATCTTTCGAGCACTTGAAATCTGATCTGAGGTTGAGAACTGAGAGTTTTTATAATCGATACCTATAGGGTATTATTATTGTTCGTCTTTCTCTATAAAGTAAAATATCTTAGAGCCTATAAAGAGCTACCCCATACTATGAGCTTATTTTGATATTTTACACACAGATCAAGTTCAGATTTAAATAAAGAATAACTAGTATGATTAAGTCTTGATTTAATTAATCAAGTCTCAAAACAGTCAGTAAATTAGACAATTGATCATTGTATTGTTTTATATTAATTAATGAGTATTTTATATTTGCTTTTTTCGTTTTTAG